CCAAGGTGGAATATGAGGTTGCTCTTCTAGTTTGTGGGTGGCATCATTGTGACACTGGAGGAGGCCCAGGATGGACGTCACCCAGGGAGTGGGAGTTAAAATGGTTCGCGACCGGAAGGTGTTGTTGTTTGTCGCAAACAGAGTGCAGGTGCTGTACAAAACGGTCTCCAAGTCTACGCTCGGTTCACTGATGTAGAGGAGGCCACATTGGGAGCAGCGGATACAGTCAACCAAGTTGGCAGATGTACAGGTGAACCCATCTGATATGAAAGGTTTGTTTGGGCCTTGTATGGAAGTGAGGGAGAAGGTGTGAGGGCAGGTGTAGCACTTCCTGCTGTTGCAGGGAAAGGTGCTGGGGGTGGTGGAGTTAGTGGGGAGTAGTGGGGAATGTGGAGCAGACGAGGGAGTTGCGGAGAGAGCAGTCCCTACAAAAGGCAGATAGGGGTGGGGAGGGAAATATATCTTTGATTATGGGGTCAGATTGTAGGTGACAGAAGTAGCAGAGAATGATATGTTGGATGCAGAGGTTGGTGGGGTGATGTGTGAAGACAAGGGGGATTCTGTCTTTATTTTTGTTGGTGGGAGGGAATTTGAGGGCAGAAGTGTGAGAAATGCAAGAGATGCAGTTGAGGGCATTTTTGATCACCTGAGCGACAGGGTGGGGGGGCGGGGGAGTGCGGTGGGGCTTGGTGGGGGGCAGTTGCAGTTCTTGAAATAGGAGGATATCTGGGATGTTTGGGAGTGGAACGCTCCATCTTGGGAGCAGATGTGGCAGAGGCAGAGGAATTGGGAATAGCATTCTTGCAGGAGGGAGGGTGAGAGGAGGGGTAGTCCAGGTAGCTGTGGGAGTCGGTGTGCTTGAAATAGATGTCAGTTTCAAAGCGGTTACTAGAGACATAATGCTTTCTATGGTGCATCTATAAAAATTGGTAAGAGTCTTTTTGGGCATGCCAAACTTCCTTAGCCACCCGAGGAAGTAGACACATTGTTGCACTTTCTTGATGGTAGCATCAACATGGGTGGACCAGGACACATTATTGGTGATTATCACTCCTAGGAACTTAACGCTCTCCACCATCTTCACCTCAGCACCACTTATGTAGACAGCAGTGTGCCTTCCATCTTGTTTTCTAAAGTCAATGACCAGGTTTTTCATTTTGCTGACATCGAGGGAGAGATTGTTACCTTTACATCGTGCCACCAAGCACTCTATCTTCTTTCTGTATTCTGTATCATGGTTGCATCCAGATAGTTTGGTGTGTGGTAAGCTAGGAAGCTGAATTTGAATAAGCTGTTCTGTGGCATTATTAAGACATTTAACAAGCTATAATTCTCCTTAATTGGCAATTCACTGCTGTGTAGTGAGAAGTGCAATTTGCTGTTTGGCAAAAGCATAAAAGATGCAGTGAGAACATTCCTGACATTAAGGTAAGCCTTGCCAGGCTCCTTGTCTGATTCGGTCACAAATCACAGAATCCCTATGGTGTGGAAACATGCCCTTCGGCCCAACAAGTCCACACTGACCCTCAGAGCATCCCACCCAGACCCATCCCCTAAACCCACCTAATCTGCATATTCCCGAACACTATGAGCAATCTAGCATGGCCAATCCACCTACACTGCACAGAGGAAACTGGAGCACCCGGAGGAAACCCACACAGGCATGGGGAGAATGTGCCTACTCCACACAGACAGTCACCCAAGGGTGGAATCAAACCTGGGTCCCTGGTGCTGTGAGGCAGCAGTGCTAACCACTGAGCCCATGTTGCTCAGACCTCGACAAGATTTGTCCCAAAGTTTTTAATGAAGTGAACCTAAAATGCCTGCAGACAGTGGCGTCTGCCTCATTACAGGTCAAAGGACAATGGAAGACTGGGAAAGATATTTTCATGTGACTGCATTTCAACCCAAACAGTTGTCATCATTAATTCTCTGGTTTAATGCTTATTTAAATATGTCACGTTAATTAAACATTCAAAGCAACAAAAGTTTAAATCAATTATTACAGTGTTAAAGTACAGCAACATCTCAGCATTAGTTAATCAGAATATAATGAATAAACTGAAGGAGAAGGCCCAGGTTCAGAAGAAGGAGAATAAGAGCTAATATTCAAGTTTGTTTTCTCAAAAAGATCAAAGGAATGTCAATGACACGTGTGAGTCTATCACATGGTCAACTGGAAGAATTGCTAATTCAAGATTATCTTTTTCAAATTACCATGACTGTAAATTCCAGTATTTCAGGTTTACCAACTCCCAAAATTTGCATGGCAAATCACATTGCTTCATACTATTATGTAAAGTTAGCTATCATCTATAAGCAAGAAAATAGGTGTCCACTTAAAGCAAATGCACAGAGCTGGAGGTATCACAGTATGGAGCTGGAGGAACACAGCAGGCCAGGCAGCATCAGAGGAGCAGGAAAGTTGACATTTCTGGTCAGGACCCTTCTTCAGAAATGGGGTTGGGGGGGTGCTTGTGGTGGTGGTGGCAGGGGAGGGAGTTCAGAAAAAATACAGAAAGGAGAGGTGGGAGTGGGGAAGGTAGATGGGATGGTGAAAGGTGGATGCAGGTAGGGAGTGGTGGGGATTAGTCAGTGAGGTGGGAGGAGCATGGCCTCATCCCATGAACAACCCTCCCTCTCATCCTTGCCTCCTTGACCTGACACAACCTGTCCATCTTCTTTCCCACCTATCCACCCCTCCCACTTCACTAACCAATCCCCACCACTCCCTACCTGCACTCACCTATCACCATCCCGCCTACCTTCCCCAGCCCCATCCCTCCTCTCTCTATTTATTTGAGCTCCCTCCCCCCTCCCCCCGCCAAAATTCTGAAGAAGGGTCCCGACCCTAAACATTAACTTTCCTGCTCCTCTGATGCTGCCTAGCCTACTGTGTTCCTCCAGTTCCACACTGTGTTATCTCTGACTCCACCATCTGCAGTTCTTACTAACACAGAGCTGGAAGTCTTTTTTTAATTCATTCATGGGAATGTGGGTGTTGCAGGCTGGGCCAGCAATTATTGCTAATCCGTGTTCCCTTTGAAAAGGTGCTGGTGAACTTCTTGATCTGTTGCAATCCACTCGTTGTAGATCCACAATTCTATTGGGGAGGCAGTTCCAGGATTTTGACTGAGTGACACTGAAAGTGGTATATTTCCAAGTTAAGATAGTGAGTGGCTTGGAGAAAATTTACAGGTGGCAATATTCTCATGTATCTGCAGCCCTTTATCCTTCTTGATGACAGCTTGAAGCTGTCATTGATGGAGCCTTGGTTAATTTCTATAGCATATCTTATTCAGCTATGCATTGTTGTTATTGAACACGGTGGTTAAGGGACTGAATGTTTGTGGATTTAATTAATTCACTTTTTTGAAAATCGATTACCTGCTAGGTCAGTACTTATTGCCCAGAAGACAGTTAAGAGTCGACCACATTGCTGCGTGTCTGGAATCACATGTTGGCCACACCAGTTTCCCTCCCTAAAGGACATTTAGTGAACCAGATGGGTTATTTCAACAATTGACAATGGTTT